GCCGATCCGAGCGGATCAGTGGCGCCGCAGGGACGGGGAGGGGGGAGAGACAACAGAGAGTCCAGAAGACGAGAGGCATCTCAAACCTGCAACCTCTCCCTCTGTCTCACTCTCACACCCTCCCTGTTCCAGTCCCTCACACAGTCTCTCTGACGCTTCTACTCTCTCTTTCTCTCTCACTCTCACACTCACACTCTCTCCCAGTCTCTCAGACTCACTCTCACCCTCACTCTATCTCTCTCACTCTCACACTCACACTCTCTCCCAGTCTCTCAGACCCACTCTCACCCTCACTCTATCTCTCTCACTCTCACTCTCCCACTCTCTCACTCTATCCCAGTCTCTCTCACTCACTCTTTCCTTCACACCTTTCACTCTCTCTCATCCTCACTCCCTGTCACTGTGTCTCTCACTCCTGCTCTCTCTCACTCTCTCTCACTCTTTCTCGCTCTCACTCCCTGTCACTGTCTCTCTCACTCTGCCCTCACTGTGTGCCTTCAGTCAGAGCTGACCTGCTTGTCTCAGGTTCCTCAGACGAGACTCTCTCCTTCATTCCAGTCTCTCTGCCGTTAACCTTGACACCTGACCTCACACTGCAGGGCCAGCAGTACAGCTCAGGTCTGTCGTACCCTGGTCACGTGCTGAACTGTGCTCTGAGTGCTGCTGTTGAATTTGTACAGCAGCTCCTGCAGATCAGTGGACCCAGTCTTGGTCCTGCAGGAACCCAGTCTGCTGGCTCTCCCTCCAGCTGAGCGCCAAATCTCCACTGCTGATTGAAGGTTTAATTCGTCCTCTTGCTCATTCAGTGTTTTGACGTATTTCTTCAGACCTGTGTCAGTCCAGAGTGACACTATCTTGGACATGCCCTCAAGTGGGAGTGACACGGTTAGACACGCCCCAACAGGGGAGTGACACTATCTTGGACATGCCCCCAAGTGGGAGTGACACTGTTTAAGACACCCCCCTGGTGGGACTGTCTGTGTATCAGACACTCAGACACGCTAGTGACCATGCTAGTAGACACGCCAGTGGGAGTGGCCCTTTATCGGACACGCCCAGAGTGGGAGTGGCGCTGTATCAGATCCGCCCACTTTGGGCAAGTTGCTCCATGTTACATTTCGGGTTCAGAACTGGAACAGGGTTGATACAGTTACAAATCCCACCTGAACTTTTAAAAGCTGAAAGCAAATTGATAATCACCCCCCCCCCAACGGGGAACTGAAATGAGTCAGTCTGTGAGGAAGAGCTCAGGCTGGAGTGAAAACCAGGAGACGCAGATCCTCCTGGAGCAGGACTGGGAGCCACAGCTCTACGGCGACGCTGAGCCACACAAACCCGACTGTCTGGGTCGTCCTGGGCTCTCTGCCTGCGTCTCCCCGATGGGCCACAGGACCTCGGGCCCTGCAGAGCGTGTGCCTGCTCCGTTCCCTGCTTGGTGTTGTGCCCCTGTGAATCTCCGGACTCGGCGGTAGGCGCGGGGTCTGCCCTTCACGCGCTGAGCCAGCAGGAGGAGAGCGCCGGAGCGCCAGGTTTACCGCAGTCGCCGCACTGCCCGGCGTTGTTTCAGACTTCCCGTTGTCCGCGGACCCGCCCCGCTCTGGTGGAGCAAACCCAGAGCCTTCGCCTGCTTTCGTTTGCCAAGAGCACTTTGCCCAACCTTTCCAAAAGGTGGACGATTTCCAGCCGCCCTCGTTAGCAATAATCCCCCCGGCTCGCAGAGACCAGGGGAGCCACTGCCTCCTTCGGCAAGAGCGTCTGCACAGTGGGGGTACGAGCTGGTGCCCCCCACCCCGACACCCACCAGGTCCTGCAGGAAGATTCCGCCCTTCTGACAGCTGAGCGAATCTCCGTACAATTCTCAGGGCTGCCCGGGGTTCGAGCCGCTGACCCCCTGCCTGTACCTTCTCGCGGCTGTCTTTTGACACATCGGCCTGGTCTGCTGTTGCCTTTCGGTGGCGCACGCCCAGACGCGCATGGCCTTCTGCCACATCACTCGCGGCAGCCGAGTCCTTTGCCAATGCATTAGGGGAAAGGCCTGGTTTGCTACTACTTTAGCGGCTCAAGCCGCTCCTTCTCTCCCCAGAGCAGCAACATGGGTGCAGAAATAGGCACTGCAGGACTGGTGGATTATAATGAATAGATTAGGTGGAAAAAAAGGTTGTCAGACAGACCAGAACAGGGAACCTTGTAGCAACTTATGTTTTGGATTTGAAGCAAATAACCTTTTACCTTCATGAAAACACCATGTCTTTTGTTTTATTTGCCTATTTGTAAGGATATGTTGTGTGATCTTTAATCTTGAATTATCTTTGAAAAGTAATGATGTATCCTTCAGCATATAAACAGGGTGCTTTTGTAATGAATTGTAATATAAACCTAGTTATGACTTTATGTTAGAAATCTGGATTTGGGGTGAGGATATAAGTTCTTGTATTCATATTGTGCCTTTTACCAGCAAGTATCCTGAAGGTCTTTACACACAGGAGGAGACTCACTGACTGCAGCCACCCAACACAGATCAGGGGCAGCAGAGAGAAACAGCTGCAACAGGAGGATTAAGAGGGACTGTCTAGCCCAGAGTAGAGTTTAGTCAAGACACTGGGGTCAACACCCCTACTTTTACAGACAGTGCCCTGGGATCTGTACTGACCAGCAGTCAGGACAGTACCTCCTACAACATAGTGTCTCAAGTCACCTTAATGGACTGCCCCCTACTGGGCCACCGACACAATTACAGCACCTGTCTGATCTCCTACAGAGTCCTGACAGTACTGACCCTGTCCAGTTCTGCTGAGCTCCTGAGATCTGGTCTAATCAGGCTGCTGGATGGTAACACTGCTGTCTGTGCAAATAGGAAAGTTATTGATTTCTTGTTTTACCCTCACTTAAAGTTGTTTTCGAAAAAAACTTCTTATTTCTCTTACCCTGTGAGGAGGCCATTTTGCTCACCGTGTGTAGAAAAGCAGTCCTCTAGATTTCCGTTTGAAGGTGTTTGTTGATGATCGATTCTGTTAAAACCGAGTTTCTGATGTTGGGAAGGCAAGGGCGTACTAATCCATTGAGAAACCTCGTTACTTCTGCCTTCTTGCCAGCCGGATCTATTTTCCCCGCAGGAAAGTCAGTGAGAGAAAATAGTTCCTGACTTCCCTCCCTCCTCCTGCCTGACCTTAATTTCAAACTTGTGTTTCTTTAGTCAGTGTTAAAGAAAGTAATATATTTAATTTTAAAGTACACATGCATAGCGTAGCATAACAATGTACAAAACTAAAAACAATGTGTAAAAACTGCGTAGCAATTCTGTATCGAAATGTATTTAAATTAGTATTTATTGTCATTTTTTAAATAAATCAATAAAACTATCTTTAACAACCCC